TCCAACTATGTTTAGAAATAAACCAAACTAAAGAGTGGAGGGAATTGGTGGTACCTTTGTTTAACTGGTCCTGTAGTGCCACGTCATAGGTGATGTTACAGCTGCCTGTCTGTCGGTCACAAGGGCACATGTGTTCACATGCACAGAGTTTCTGGCAGTTTGGGCCATACCAGCCCATGGGACATGCTAGGGAATTGATTAAAAACAAAAGTCAGCCATTGTTAAAGCTCCACTTTGAATCTATTAAATCCAGCACTCTGGACCTTCCCCTGTCCTCAATTCAACGGTGCCTGTTTCATCAGCAGCATCAGCTGAGTGCCTGAATGCCAGGCACCCTCAGGGCTCTTTGGAGAGGCTCAAACCTCCTGTAGATCAGAGATGCTCAGACTGCTTCTAGGAGGGATGAGACTAGCTGAGCATTCCTGGGCTAAAGCTGGGATAAATATCCTGGGATAAAGCTATTTAACCATATGCACCCAGGATTTACACCCATACTGTGATTAACCCATGCTGTCACCAGAGCATGATTTTCAGTCTCACAGGAGCCTGAAGGGCTTCAGAAGAGCTGGAGCGGCTACGCAGATGAAAAATTACTGGCCCTATTACTTTTACGATTTGTAAAAGTGGAGTTCAAAGGATGCAAACCAAAATGACCCTTGGGAGCCTTCCACAACCACTGATTGAGACCCTCCTCCTCAGCCCAGGCTTAGAGGTGGGAATAGAGCCACACTGAAGTTCAAGGTATTCAAGTATTCGTGTTCTTTGGCAAAGCAACTCAGCTCTTCTGGGCAGAGACTAGATCGAGATTCAAACTCTTCTAATATAAAAAAAAAATTCTCCTGCCCGCTGCCTGCTTTTCCTTGTAGCTGATTTAGGTAGGGCAGGTAAGTCCTTAAGAGGTGAGACTTATTTGGAGCTGCCCTTACCTTGCTCGCAGCTGCTTCCGTAGTAGCCAGCGGGGCAGGAGCAGGTGCCGTGCACAGGGTCACACAGGCCACCATTCTGACACAGGCATTTTTGGGAGCAAGCGTCCCCATAGAAGCCACTAGCACAAACTGCAAGAGACAAGCACAGGGCTTGGTACGAGTCCCAGCAGCCCCCTGCTAGTACCTGCTCAGCCTTTTCTGCCATGGGGGCTTGAGGGGCTACTCACAGAAAAGCAGCAGCTTCTGCTTTGAGCAAGGAGCAACGGGGGCCCCATTGCTGCTTGGTGCTGGCTTAGCACCAAGACAAGTGTGAAAGTCCCAGTGCAATTAAACTCCCCCTGGGAAAAAGCAGAGCACCCTGTGCCCCCTTCCCTTGGCTGCTCCCTCGGGAGGGCACAGGGGCTGCCCACCGCTGCAGGCAGCCCAGGGCCTGCAGTCCCGACTACCCCCGGCCACTACAGAGAGGCAGAGCGGAGGGGAAGTCCGTGTTACCTTCACTGCAGTTGCTGCCAGTCCAGCCAGCATCGCACACGCATCCAGCTGCACAAATGCAAAGAGATATTAGCAAAAGAGAAAGGCTCAGAGACAGCTGGAACGTCAAGTTGGGAGCTTCCTGGGGTTCCCTTGTCACTTGAGATCAGGCTGCTCCTGCCAGGGAGCCCACAGAAGAGGAATCCTGAACTCACAAACAGGCTGGATGCAAACACCCACCAAGAGCAACAAACTGCACCAGTTTCTGTGCCACTTCCTGCTGCCTGGCGTTCAAGGCATTGATTCTGAATCAACTGCTAGCAACATCTGCATCCCCCTGAGCTCTACCCCTGAATCAGGGAGGCAGCAGATACAGAAACCAGACTTAGCAGGAACAGGAAGAGCAGCGGCTGGGGCTATCAGAGCAACACTGAGATGCGGGACAAGTTTACAGACCAGCAATCTCATGCTTGTAAAAATCATGCTGCAATGAAGCAGGACAGCTGAATACTGAGAGAAGGAGCAATAAGGGCAGGGAGCAGAACTCAACTGCCACACGGCATAGTGCAATGCCCTTCTTAACAGCAGGTTTACAAAGAAAACCAGCTGCTTGACCTGGGACAGATAGGGAAGCCAAGACAAAGGTTGAAGTGAAGTCCTGCTACAGGTCTAGATTGCAGATCTGAGCCCCAGCCTTGCCGTGCTGCCACCCCCCCCATCAGCACTGGGTCCTGATAATCTCCACTGCTGCCGCAGGGGGAGCAGAGCTCCAAACACCCAAAGGCAAGAGCAGGATTGAGGCAAACAGCCCCACCTGGCCTGCAGAGTCAGGATGTGGCTGGGGTGGAGCTGAGCATCAGCACCTGCAGCTCTAAAGGTCTGGGCTCCCCAGCAACTGCTCTTTCCTACAGTGAAGGAAGCAGCTACTGCTGGGCCTAATTCCTGGGGGGGAGAAAAAGCAGCTACAATCCTTCAAACAAGCATGGGGAAAGACTTCTTAGACTTAGGCAGCTGCTTCTGTGCATTGAGCTACATCAAAAGAGCCCCATCATGATGCTCCAGGGAGAAGGCTAGAAATGGTAAGCGATGCTCATACTGCAACGCACTTGACTGCTAAGGTAAGCAACACGTTCCCACATGTAGCCCCCCCCAGGTCTCAGCTTCCTTGTCAGGCCTCCTCCCACCTCCCCCGTGCTCCCAGGGGACTCACAGCCGGTGCAGGTGCCGTGGAGGCTGCAGTTGGCCGGGCCGCAGTCGAGCACGTCGCAGGCGGCGCCGCGCCAGAAGCGGCCGCTGCAGCTGCACGTCCCGCGCACGCAGAGCCCGTGGCCGCTGCAGTCCGCGGGCTCGCAGGCCGCCTCGTGCACGCACAGGACCGTCGAGATGCTCCGCGGGCAGCGCCACATGTTGTCGAAGGAGCTGGGGACACAACGGGGGCACTGTAAGGGGAGACAGCACTTGGCTGCTCCCAGCCCTGCATGGAACCAATCAATGTAACCCGCCAAATTTGAGTTGGTAAATAAGAAAATTAGAATATTGACTCAAATCTAGTTTTGTGTTTATATTTTTCCAGTCTTAAAATAGTGTTGAGTCCTAAAGGATAGAAGTCATTTAAGACCCAAAATTACAAAGGGCAAACTGTGAAAACTAAATCCGTGTTAAAGTAGGGCCTGCTACTGTCCTTCCCTGAGGCGTTTAACACACCTTCATTTAACTACCCTTTGCTTTGATATAAGCAACTTCATTAGCCTTATAGTAACACTTGGCCTTCAACTGTAAGATTGTAAACTGAATTTTAAATTGCCTGATTTTTAACTTGTTTCCTGTTTACTGTCAGAAACATCTTAAATCTCAACTGAAGTTTTCTTTAGCTCTCCTCACCATGGCGTGAATGAGAGAAGCATAGCAGCGCTAGCCAGGGCAGGGTCTGCAAGTCAGTGTTTCTCTTCCATGAATAAACTGTTGACAGGTCTCAGCCATGTCCTGCGAATGTGCAACTGAATCTCCTAGTCCAAGAGCTGCTTTGATATTTGATTCCTGCACCAGGTCACTCAGTCACGCTGAACAGCTTTGCTGCATGTCTGAAAACAGCTAAACTTAATGTGAGACTACTGAGTGAAAAACAAAACAAAAACAGGTAGTCATAAAATTACTGTAAAGCTGAGAGTCATTTGCTCTGAAAACTGATCACTTGTTTGTACGTCGCATATGACAACCGGGAGCTGCCTGGTCCCTTGTGCAGCCCTGGACATGCAGAGGCAGCACCTACCAGTGCTCAGAGGGGTAACTCGCAAGGGTCCCGTTGAGGACGAGCGTTGCGGAGCCTCCACCGTCCAGGTTGATAGCGTTGATGATTCCTTGCTGCCTCAAGAAGTCGGCCATTTCCCACAGGTTAAGCCTGCAAAAGCAAGCAGCTGTTCATTGCACAGGCCTGACTTGGGCAATCTGCAGTATTAGAAACTTGGTCCCCATCCTCAAAGGAAGGGGAGCAGTTTTCCCATCCCAGGCATGCTGACCCACCTCTGGAGGACTCTTCAGACCTTCCTGGCTTTGTCCTTCCAGCACCACAAACTGTTACGGGGCCTTCAACTTGTCTTTTATGTTCTAAGGCAGAGACTCCCTGAGTCCCTTCAATTCCAGTGACAGAGTTTAGACTGGTCTCATGTCCCCAAGGCCTTACCTTAGCTGAGGCCTTACCCTCTGGATTCCGTCTGTCCATCCACATGAACCAGCACCAGCTGCCCCTGACTGTCATGTCCAACTGCAGTCCTGGCTGATATCACATTGATGAACCTGTCAAAGGTTCCTACGAACGACAGGAAACAAATCACACGCTCACTGGGTGACAGAACTGGCTGATTAGACACATCTGCCTGTAAAACAAATCCCAGCAAAAGGCTCAGCTAAACTGAAATACAGTGAGAACAGTGCCCAGCATCCTCTTGTCCATCCAACCCATCTAGGAATAAGATTTCTAGAGGCACTCTTGGTAAGATATTTTGCTGGTACAGGGAGAAAGGAAGAGGATTCATAAGCCTTCAGCTCTAACCCCTTGCAAGATAGGTCTGCTTTGAGCTTTCCTGAGCAAGGACCAAGATCAGTCATGCTAGGACTTCTCCCAGCTGTTAGCAAATTCTGCTCAATGATGCTGAACAGGCAAGTGCTGCCTGGTCTGGCAGGAACCCGCTGCTTGTACCGCAGCTGACTCGGGGTAACAAAGTAGCACGGAAGGAATCTGGATCTGTAAAGTGAAGGAGCATCAAGCGCTCCCAAAAAGACAGCAGAGTTTCCAAACCTCCCCTGCTACCAGCAGCCTCTCCGCAAGGAGAATCCGTGCCCAGGCTGAAGCTCTGCAGTATTTACCTGTGGTTTGAGTTTCATCACACTCAGCCATTCGACTCTGATTGATGTACACTTCTCTGTTCCTCAAGAGCCAAACCACCCCGCTCACGAGCTGCACAAAAGGGTTCACTTCGGCAATGGCACATGAAAGCCTCTTCTCCTGACAGCAGACTGGAGAAGGGGGGAGGACAGCCAAATGGCCGTTAGCCGCAATCAAAAACACAGCTTCGATTCTCAAAAGAGTAGCACCAAACAGCTGCTGAGAGAGTTTTCGGTAACAGCGTCCAGGCAGCTCACAGCTTCACTAAGCGGGGAACAGAGGGGTGCTGTATCTCTCTGTCTGGGGAAGTTATCCTCTCCTCTTCCCTCTTTTATTGTTAAGACAGGACTGTTAAGCCAATATGTCCATGACGAGGGTCCCAAGTCACTGTAGGAGGTTTCCCTTGTGATATCTTGGGGATCAGGGTGCTGAGCAACATCTGCCTCATTATAATCACATGCTGAGTAATGTTTGCAACAGCTAGAGGAGGACAGCAGCAAGCTGGGGGCTGAACAGCTGTGCCTGCACTGTGAGCTCTGCTAATGTTTGTTTGTTTAAAACCAACTGCTCTATGTGCACCCCACATCTTGTGGCACTGGAAGCTCAGCTTTTAGTTTTTTAGTGTATGAGTGTAGCTGAACAAATCACACCTCTTTGTACAAAAACATAACTGAAAATACATGAATGGAAAAGTGCAAAACAATCTCGGCAATCATTAGACGTGAACACAGAGAAAATGAACACAGCTGAAAATTGATTAAACGGCACAGAAGTTCAAGTATGGACTGACTGTCAGCTTTTAAATCTTTCAACTATTTACTCCTGATCTAGGTGGCAGTGACAGCACCTTTCCAAGCTTCAGGTACGTGCCCTAGTACACTGTTGTGTTGATCGTTATACAGACACTTGAGCATGCACTGCTTTCTCAGCTGTCCTGACAATTTCAGCTATCTACCTCCAAACTATTTCTGCAAACTATTTTCTGTCACGTTCCAGCAGCCCCAATGACCTGCAGCTGACAACAACCCGCATAGGCAATGCCATGACTCCCCTGAACACCAAAAATCCTTCAAAAATAGGAGGCAATCAGGGAAGAGCTGGATTAAAGACTCAGCTTCCTGCTGGTCCTGATGCAGAAGCATCGTCACTGAGGTGGAAAGCAGGTTATGGCAGTGGAGCTCCGGGCTGCCCGGGAGGGCGCTTAGGGGACGGGTAGCTGCTGGAGTAGCCTGTTGGCTCTACAGAGATGCTCCCCCGTCCCCCGCGAGGGTCTGAAGGCAGCAGGGAGCAGGCGCAGGAAGAACGCAGCTGATGGGAGCAGCCCTTCTGCTTCTAAATCTGGGAACAACCCATGGAGCACAGCATGGCCTTCTGAATTCTTCAAGGACAGTTAAAGGAAGCTTTTACTTCCAGCAAGCTCTAACAGCTCTGTCCTGACCAAAGGGTGCTTTGAGCTTGTCTCCAGCTGTCTCTTGATTAAGGAGGTGTCAAGTATCCTTTTCGCTGGTGCTAAGGAGGGGCCTGTATAACTGCAGACCCAGTGCATGGTTCCCAGAAGCAGCCAACACATCACAGGGTCTCCAGTGCTGGTAGAGCAGCTATCCCTGCCACACCAGAGGCTTTGCCTCACACCAAGGTCTAGAGGGAGGACCCTCAAGGTGCAGAGGTACCTGGAGTGCTCCCCACTAAAGCTAGGGCCAAAAGAAATGGCATCCTTGTGAGTATTGGTTAAGGAGATATTTTTCCAGAGCACAGAAGTGGCAGACTGGGCTGGCAAGCAAAGGCTGCAGAGTGATATATGGGGGAGTAGGTGGGAATCTATGGAGTTTTGCCATGGGATGGATGATGAGTCAGATGAGACCCTCTGGTTTAGGGTTGGAGGGCAGTGCAGGCTGGTGGGTGTCCATCCACATGATCTCTGGTGGTGGATCAGGCCTTCTCTGAGCAACTGCAAGAAGCTTCACGTTCACAGACTCTGCTGCTCTTGAGGACTCTGATATCTGTTGAGAGGGCAACACAGCAGGGTACAAGCGATCTAAGGGAGGTCTGGATTTCTACTTTAAAATACAAAATTACAATGGGGGTGGTCAAATACCAGAACGGGTTGTGCAGAGATGCTGTGGGGCCTCCACCCTTTGAGATATTCAAAATCTGACAGGACAAGGGCCCAGGTAACACGGTCTAGTTGTCCTTGCTCTGAGTAGCAGAGGTGAACTGGAGACATCCAGAGGTCCCTTCCAACCCCAGTGATTCTGTCCTGTAGCCAGCGCAGCTGTTCAGTCCCTCCTTGGCCTCTTTTCTCAGTGGGGCAGGACAGGGACCTCTCCCCCTTCAATCACGATCATGCTGTAGCATGGCAGGGGGAAGGAGACCCAGCAGCCTATGTATCCAGACAGGATCAGAGTAATTCATGTAGCTTATTTTCTTCCCAGGAAAGAAAGCCAGGGCTCAATGAGTTACAGGGAGGATATCTCTAATGGAAAAGAGAAAACCATCCTACTGATCTAACTAGGAGTGGCCAAGGGGACAGTGCTTCCTGTGTCCAAGATTGCTGCTAATTTTCAGAGAGGGAGAAGGGCGCTCTTGAAACGCTGCCCCGTTCTTACCCGAACACCAGGGTGCCATCCTTGCGGATGCCGAACTGCGCGTTCTGCAGGCCGCGGGCGTTCCTCACCAGCCTTCCATCGCTCACCACGTTCCCCAAACACTCCCCCGTTGTC